AGATTTTGCTATATTTATTTAAAAAAATCTTTTCATTTAGAATTAGGCGGCTTTGCCGCAAATAAAAATAAATAAAGTCAGTTTTGGATTCTAAACGGAAGAGTTAATTAGCCTTGTGTTAAGGCAATAATTACTCTTGGAGTAATCGGATTGCGATCCGCTAAACTCGTACTTGTTCTAAGTATAGAACGAAAGGTCGGTGACCTAAGTTACGCTTCCTCAAAGCGCAAAGCTACGGCAGATCGCTGCATCCTGGGTATACCCAATATTTCCAAGAGATTTTGCTATGAGAACTTCCTAGAAAGGGACGAAGTACGCAGCCTTTAATGATTTACTTCACATAACACTTGCAAAGCTCAAAACTACCATGGTGGACTATTTTTATAGCATGCCAAGCAAGATCAGTCTCCGGTGCAGATGAGGGTGATAAGGTTCTGTGATGGAGATCCATGTGATCGCGTGTCATAATCACATGCTGTTCACTTAGTAGAGATATTGTAAACTATAGGTAATTAAAATCGTATCAAAGCAGTTCGAATATGAATGTCTATATTTTTATTTGAGCAGTTTGGAGTCTTTCCGCATGAAAGCAGACTCATCGAGCCGGACAAACAAGAAGCAATCATTGCATGACAGCTTCACGAAACTGCTGGTTGTGACAAAGCGTACCGTCACTCTCCGAGAAACCCCTCGCTCGAGTTTTCACGAGCCTCTAGTTATTCCGGAGCTCACAATCAAAATTTGCACTGAAGCAGTTTACATTCAGATAGCTGTTTTAATGCAGAAGGTTGTCCATCAGCTGTCGATTTCTTGTCCTCATAAACATGCTTCGCGTTTGCGTGATGTACAAAGATGCAATATGGTAAGGCTAAAACCAGCCCACATGGAACGCGAGATGTATCTGCCCTTGAGAATCGTCAAATGTGAAACTCAACCCTTGCAAGCAATGACCATATAAAGCGAGGTTACGTTATTCTCCAAAATATCCAGGCAGATATATTTGGCTGATTATTTGTCTCAACGGGAAGAATCAACGTTTTCGCTATGATTTGTAGCCGGAATGATACCAGCAAATTGATCAGAATCGACAGTCCATTCTTCACCAGGACTGGAACATATTCGTAAAAGTTAGAGAAATGGAATGGTATTGGGCTACATCAGGCCACTACATGAAGATACATTTAAGTACCCTCTGTATGCATTGTGGAAATATATGAAAGAAGATTACAGTATGGTGTTCCTGAACGCATGCGTGACATCTTATATGAAGTCACAACCACTCTGTGAGATAAAGATTGTTGGTTTCTACTTGGGGATCTGTATTGTAGACGACAATTCTCTGTCTTTTGAAGTGAGAAGTCAATTCAAGAAGATATTAGAAGTTCAAGCTTCTCGAAGGCACAATCCGTACATTCAAGATTTTGTATTAGTCATGGTGATAATCACCCTCAGTACATCCTTGATTTATTATAAATCAGGAACCCAAGATTCTACTAGTAAACCCTTTAAAAGCCCTTGAGATGTTTTGCATGTCGCTGGGAACGATAAATCATTTAAGTTCAGTTACAAATTTGCCTCTAAAAGTCCTAATAGTTCTCTGCTTTTCTCCAAGTAGAAACTGTCCTTCTCTCTCCATGTCGAAAATCGCTTCCTCATCGCACAAGCGTGTATGTTGTATTTGAGGGACTGTTTGCGAACGGCACCCGTTTGCAGTTGAACGAGATCATGAATAAAGTCGTCTGAAAATACGTGAAATACACTGTTCAGTGCAAAATAAGTGGATGGAAGCCCGGTGCTTGCAATACACAGTTCTGATAGAATTGATTTGTGGACGATCCGCTGTGCGATATTAATGTCGCGCCAAGAACTTAGCGCACAGCTATCATCATTACGCTGTTTAAAAAGAATATTGATCGGAGATAATTGCTAAAGACACGCCAAGCTGGCGAAAGATTTTGTCTGGAAACAGCTGGGCTAGATGCTAATATCGCTCGACGAGGTGAGCCATTTTTTTGATTAGAGTAAACCAATACTAATGTTATAACAGCAAGATGCTGGGAATGGAGGGGGGTGATATTAGCGCCAAAGCACACCGCGATAATTCGATTTTAACACAAGTCGTGCATGTGAATGCAAGTGTTTCAACATCTGTAAATTCGAGACACAGTGTTCACTGACTTAGACATCGTCTTCCGCTTAAAATGTCTTCCCAGTGGAGCACACAGAAAGTTTTGTAAAACCCATTTTGATGAACAATCACATGTTGTGTACCAGGATCGTGGTGTAGTTTTGAGATAAAAGCTCCATCGAATTCGAAAATGAAGCACTATTTTTGAGCCTTTGTAAATGTATCAACGAGTAAAATGTATAATAAGCATTATTTTTTTTATTCATTATTGAGTTGAGTGCACTAATCGACAATTGCTAAGTAACGCAATAGTCTATTGTTATGTCGCCAAATGAATTTTCATGATTAATTTTGCTGTGCGATTTCTTACTGGGATCGTTTCGCGTACCTCAAAGAGTATTCTTAAAAGCTTCATTTGTTAGTTCTTTAAGTTATTGTGAGTGATTAACATTGTGATTTTTGTAGTCAGTTTCAGCTGACGAAGAATATTCTCGCCAACGACCAGTATGGATGATAGAGCCAGGAAGAACAGCCGGAGTATAATTCTACACGATGTGTCTGTGCTACGATAAGATACGGCAAATGTTTTACAATTTTCTGTCTATAACGCTTAAAATAGTCTATCACATTCGTCACAAGTCCATTTCATGTAAAAGGCGTTTCTCAATCCAAATTTAATGCTCATAACTCAATGGATACAACATAGTGTTTAGCAGTATTTGATATGCCTTTGATAATCTTTAAACTTAAGTATAAAGAGTTGAACAAGGTGGGATATAATGAGGATAGCATCGTCAATGCGTAATGTTCCATTGTGAGACGAGATTACACATATGAATGGCGCAAATGTACGCTAGTCACCCTAATCAGCTTCCCAGACTTGTGTTCTATATCATTGATTCTACTAAACAATGCGATCTCTAATTGGCTACTTGGTTGGACTGATTTTGTCGTGAAGATACGGCACGCCATCGTATATCGTCCAGCAACCAGACGTGTACCCCATGTTTATGTTACTAGCGTTGAACGAGAAAATGATTTTTTATGGTCGCATCGTAATGTATACATATATATATTCAAACTCTCATCTATATATTACAAAATATTGTTTGGATATCACAGTTAAAGGCTAGTAATTTCTTCCAATTGATTTGAGTAATATATTCATTCATCCAGCTTTGCTAAGAAACCACAAAGAGTTCAACTCCTCTACCTTGCAGTCAGTTCACTTGATCAATTTCTGCTACTTCCACTTCCCCATCGTCCGCACACGTTTGGTCTATAAACCGCACACCAAGTTCCATCTCTTCTTCATCTCGCGACACGTCACCAAAAAAGCTGGCAATGAATTTTCCTTCTGGTGCCTCCACTGCCTTACACAATTCTCCATGCTTAATGCTTCCATATCGTTCCGACGTACGCAAAGTGGTCACAAATTGAATAGCGTGAATTATTCGTCGCACTCGAAACAAACGTACTTTCGTGATCATTTCCTCTTTTTCAAGTGTAAAATAGTGTCTCCCTTCCATCTCCTTTTGCACTTCCGGTAGATAAAACCCTTCTACCTTCACAATAACGTCATCTGCCATATCAATAGCTACACTGAGCAGTTTGAGATCACTCCCAATGTCCTCGTGTCCCCACTTTTGCTTTGCGCTCACTTTACCCGTCGACTTGTACGTGGCCAGCTTCGCATCATCATCAAGAACAACCGATCCATCGATAGAGACAACGTCATTATCTTCATTATCCGAGTCTGTCTCTCCAATTGCATCCTCATGAAACAGAATCTCAGGTGTCTTGTCTTCAAGTAAAGCCGCATGAATACTATCACGTGGATGTCCATCTGCATCTAGCAATGGAAGTCCATCGTCGTGATGTGTCTTTAGTTCCTTGCGTGCCATTTAACTTGTGTCGTATCAAGTGAAATGTGAAATATATATGGCCATTCAACGTCATCTTGTTGTGCGGAGAAAAGGCCAGAGCGTCTGTTTCGTGTTGAAATGTGTCATTTTTCTGTGGCTGGCATATGTGGTACGAGTCTTCTAAGATTGAAATATAGATGACTATGGACGTGGAGCAGGACGCATTACCGCATGAGCAGGACACACCACAGCATGAAGAGGAAGAATCTCGACATGAGCAGCAGTTTAAAGCGCTGTATATGACCCAAGTGCTAGCTAAGCTGCATGAGAGTAATAAAACACCGCAAGTTGCTGCAGCAGAGCTACAAACTGCGCTGGTTTGATTGTCTTGATAAGAACATTTAATCGTGATAAACAAGATTTTAACGTCGAGATTGTCATGTAGAGAGAATTGCATGTTTTACAGCAAGAATTTGTCACTAAACAAACAAAGCAAAACTTACTAGATCGTCTAGCACAAGTTGAAGCATTGGAAGCTCTTCAGAATACTGCGGCATCTAGAAAAGCGAAGGCAGAAACTGGTTTTGATCAAGAAAAAAAAGAATTACAGACTGCAGTGCGTGAACGAGCAGATATGCTTCGTTTGCTGGAACGACTAGCAGATGAAGTCGAGCAACAGAAGCAAAAGGTGCTTGACCATGAAAGCACACGGGAGACGCACGAGAGTGAGGTAGCGCAGCTGAACGAAGTGTGGAAGGAACTTCAGAAAAAAAATGCTCATCGGAAAGCAGCAGTACAAGTAGCTACAGGCGTGATGATTACGGACGAAGAAGACTGTGCACGAGTTCTTGATCAGCAGACTCAAAATATTCAGGAACTGCATCAAAAACAAAAGCAGCTTGAGGTGAGCAATGTTAAGTGGATCTAAAAAGAATCTCATTTGATTCTCTTTATTCGTGATCGAGCATGAAGGATGAAAAGATCGATATAAGCATTAAAGTAGCGCGAACGAAAAAGACGATTGAAAATTTGTCAAAAGAGGTGCGTAAAGGAATGATCGAAATGTTGGACAAGTGGACACTTAATGCGATTATTGTAGAACGATCTGAGAAGTAAAGATGCGGAGGTGAAACAGCGAGAACAGGACTACATGACGCTGCAGCAAATGAAGCAGTGGTGCGTATGAGACTTGCAAAACTTGACGTGACGTGTCCCTTATGTCATCCTGCGCTTTGTCAGGTATGATCACGTGAGAAATATTATGGAATCTGTCTCTGGATTTGAGATTACCAATGTCTCCGATGAATATCTGGATGTTCGAGTTTTAAAGTCCCATTTAGTACGACTTTTTTGCGATCCTGAAACCACAAGGTTGCAGCGTGTAGAGGTACGTTGTAATAATTGCATCACGAGAATCAAGAATCTCAATCGTTTTGTTGTAGTTTTTTGCTTCTGATGTAACAACCATCGACCTGGTGGACGTGGCTGTACGCGATAACAATATTCAGTATTTGCTGTGCGAATATCGTGAAAGAGTGCGGGAGCATCTAGCACTGTAAAACTAGTCCAATAAACGATTGTGCCTTATGCAAGCTTCGGCTTCTTTCACCTCACACATCGCATTGATGTGACTCCAAAGTTAATGAATCGATCTTTTACCGCTAGTTGCTGTATGATAGTAGCTGAGTCTATTGAAAAGTCTACAAATCAAACTCTATTTTCGTGTAGTCGTAACTTACTATTGAAAGTTCTGTCGAATGTACTGTCGATAGTCATGCTGTTGAGTAAGATAACAATCTGTAGAATGTTTCAAGTTCAAGAAGGTTCTGATATTATTCAACAAAAGTAAAACTTGCATCTTAATCTTCGACGTACGGTCCTGAGTACTCAAAGCTACTCAATGCAATTGGGCAAGTTCTTCAATCCGTACAGTCAAATTTTCCACAGTACATACATCAGTACCATCCAGCATCCCGTCATTGTTAAGCTTGTCCACCACCTTCATCATTTGAGGTTTTGGCAAGTCCAAAAAGCTTTCCACCAAATCTCCATCAATAAAATTGCGAGCTTCTGATACAGACCGCCGATTCTCAAACGTGCGCCAATCCTTGTACGAAAAACCACCGACACCCTTTACAACTTGTGTCAGTGCTTGCTGAACGCGTAAAAGAAACGAGTATTGGTCTTTGCTAATCGGCAAAACGACACCAATCATACCACTGACAGTTCCAAATAGCATCGATTGATTTGGAACGGCTGAGTAACTAGAATACCTTTCACTCACATCGGCCATCTCAGTCGGTCCTTTTGATATAAGAGTAGTTGGAGTTTGAAAAGTTGTGGAATTATTCTGCATCACGAGAGAACCATGTCGAAAGCGGTTTACAAACTCACCCAAGTGGAACTCTCCAACTGTTTCTAAACGGCCACGTTCTTCATCAGACGCTGCGCCACTAGAACGCTGCACCGTAAATAAGTTGAAATCTGTCTCACTGCCAATATAAGTATCATCATCGATGATTCCAACGGCAGTCATCCAGTTTGAGTTTAAATCCTTTGCTATCTCTTCAATTGTTCCATCCAATTGCTTGTAGCTCAGTAACGAGATCGACTTCATGAGATCACCCACTACAATAAAATCTCCGCGTGATTCCATATACAACACCAACGTGTGACCATAATGTCCGCATTCAGAGACAAGTTCCTTTTCATTGTCGGTGTTCTCGCTCCACTTGTACAATTGTGCCTTGCTGTTAACACCTGCTAGCACCTTTCCATTGAACGAGTTCAGACAATACACAGCGCCCTTCACTTCCTTTTCAGTAATTAATTGCAATTTGCGCTCCCCATGAATACCCGTGACAGCAAACACAAGAATACGACCTTGATGTGGCTCCGCTTCTTCTTCATGAATATAAGCCGTTCCAACGACATAGTACGATGCACTGACGGAATCACCAGCAAAAGGACAGACAACTACAGAGCACGGAGTTTCGAACGGATCAAGACGATACGAATTGAGCACTTCAAACGTCTGATCATCAAATAAACGTACAAAACCCTGGTCAACCTCTTCACCGGTATCATCCACTGTGAAATTTACAGTTAGCACTCCCAAGGTGTGTGAATCTGGATCGTGAGCAATACGACGTGCCCACTCATTGAGATGAAAAGTTTGAATGTGAAGCTTTTGGATATCGTCGACCGTTCCAATCGTAAGCTCTTCCTCGGACGAAAGTGCAAGACACTCTGGAAACGACTCAGAATCAAATGGGCACATCACATTCACTTCTTTTGAGTTAATATTGGAGTATAACAGCTTGTTATTGCTCGAGTAGATGACTGTTGGGCGATCACATGCTGCGAACACGTGTGTCATATTCTTAGTTCGAAATCTTGAGAGCGAGAGAGGCTGTGAGCCTAGTGAGACACGCTTCCGGGTTCCAAGCGTTCCTTGATTGACATTAAGTTCAAAATTCATCAAACTGCCATCACCAAGTCCGACAAGTAGATAATCCTTTCCTTCAAATGTATTGCAAAGCACTGATCGCGGAAGCAGATCCATCCCAAGGGATTCCGTAGCTAATTTCGTGAGAGTCGGCAATTGCAACACAGACACTGAAAAATTCGTCCACAACCCGACAACACAAAGTGTGGAGCTTAGCGCAGCCATATCCCAGTGCGATGACAATTCCGTCATTGTCACATCACCATCTTTTCCAGCAAGGGGTGTCACATCCACACACGCAATCTCGTGCTCCATTTTTGCTTGGGTCTTTTCAGTCAAATGCCCGTTTTCAAGCTGGAGGTACACGAGCACACCGCCGGTTGTCGCGACTGCCACCTGAGTAGGATTTGCAGAAGCAACTGTAATTCGCGATCCAGATGGTGGGGACCACGTCGAGTCGAGTGACAACGTCTTGCAACTTATAAGTCGAACTTCCGATTCTGTCACTTGAAGCCACATATCGCCAAACATGTTTCGACATAACAAGGTTTTTACGTTCATAAATGCTGGAATATCCTTTTCCTCCATCTCATCGTTGTCACCAATTGCAAGAATTCGAATCTCGCTCACGTAACTTTGAACCAAATACTTGTCATGCTTGGCTTCAAATGTCTCGCGAAGAGCCCACATGCCTTTGATCCCTGGTAGTTCAGCACTGGCTTGTTCATTTATTCCAATACCATTACGAATTACACGCAGTGTTCCATCCTTATCAGCACCACTACATGTAACAATCTGCCCTTGGCCTTGACGATCCAGATCCATCACGCAAAAATCAATAATTGGTCCGACATTCACATATGTGTCCAGCACTTCAATATACGATCCATTCTCGTCTCGATCAGCATTCAATTTGATTAATTGCGAGTCTCCAAATGTACTGCCAATAAACACGACACCATTGTCCAAGTAGGATAGACACGACGCAATGTTCGTCTCACCTAAAACCTCAAGATGCACGCCGGTAACTTCCTTGTTTGTCAATTGTAAAGCTACCACAGAGAGCGTCCCATATTGATCTGCAAGCAAAAATCGCGACCCATCTTTATCAACTGCACCGTACACTTGAATCACTGTACTTCGCATTGGTATGGCATGGAATGTGGTTCCACTATGATACACAATTGTTTGATGGGATACAATCAATACTCCTCCTGTTGGAGCAGGAACTGGGATTAATAAACTCGCTCCTGATTCGACATTCGACTGACTCCATGGGCCTTCGGCAAAGTCTTTTTCCTTAAGTAAAATATGGTAAGTTTTCAAGTGTCTTGCAGCCTTGTAATCTTCGTATAGCACACAGATCGTAGGTTTTGTGTACCCATGAAGAAATTTGATATCAATAACTCGTAACTCATCTAGACGGATATTAAACGTATCTCGGAGAATACCTTTGCCACTATCAATCGGAATGACCTTGAAATAGCCTTCATACAAGTTCATACCGATCAAACGGCCCTCGGGATCAATGTTGCCACTTGTGACAATCTCACTACTGCGACCAATTGAGTCTCGAATGCTACCATGAGCTTTGGTCACCACTTGTTGTGTTGCAGAGTCATAGGCCAATACACAGAATTGAAAGCGCTGTGTGACGATAAAGAGCCAGTCCTGAGGCTCATTCGTGGCACGAAACACCTCGAATATAGCAATTCGGCCATACAAATTGATATCATGCTGTGGCTGAAGCCCTTCGGGTGTCAAGAGATGCACTTCAAAGCGCGTACTCTTTGCTAATAGTAGATTTGTATCGTTCACACCCGTAAAGACGGCTGTAAGTGAGTGGGTAACACTTGTAGGCTTTTGTGCTGTAGCCACATAGTTGTATGCCATGGGGAGTCAATTTTGAGAGCTGAAGAGAGAGATGTAGGACACGACTTGGACAGAAAGATTATAGAGACGCACCCAGACAATTAAAAGGTGCTAGAGAATAGAGATGACGAAGTTATAAGCCAAACAAGCACCACGGTCGAGATACTTCTGTTCGTCTCAAAATCTTTCTGAAAAATATTAAATTGATGGTCATTGTTTGTGGGATGGCTACATTAATATAGCTACACATTTTAAAACTCGATAGAACCTAACTTGATCTTGTCGCGATAAGAAATCCCATTAAACTCTTCAATTAAATACTGATAGTCATGCAAGTTCGTTAAATGATAATGTGCCGTGTGATTCGGAATATCTTTCTTTCCAGGCATATAATGGCATACATGAGTTCCTGCTTGTCTGGTTTAGCGTACATGAATAATGGACATGAATACAAACGTTATTTTATAAAGATGACTTCAATTACACGTACTTGGCAGCTTTGATGGTAAGTGAATGCCGTGCAAGCACCATCATGTCGGTTGATTTAAGCCCAAGCTGTTCACAGATATTGAGAATTGGCTTCGAATCCGGAAACTTTTCAGGATATTCCTTCGGCACAAACATGTCAAATTGTCCTTTCATCTTCAGCATGACGTTAAATGTTTACAATTACATTGCTGTTATACAGTTCAATAGCTGTAATAATACTTTACCTCTTTTTTAAAAATCTCATACTCTTCCTGCATATACAAAGTCCACGGTGCTGTTAGATGTGAATAAGGTGTCTTGAATCAGTTTACGTACATCCTGCAATGGGTCACGTGGTGGAATAACAGCCTTGAACAAACCACGAAGATCCGAGTAGCTCTGCACAGAACCAGTATTCAATTTCATCACAATACATCGTCTTATTGCGCTTGAGTTTTCATCCACATACCAGCACTTCGTTCGCTCCGTCGTTCACAACCCATGTCGATAATCCCGCAGACGTTGTCGGTTCGAAAGCTTCCTTTAGACCTACAGTCGTCCCTTCTTTTCTCTTCTGCTTGGACTTTTCCTTCAGCATTTGAATTCGACCCATGTACTTGTCTCGTAATGAGCTTGTTTGCATCCCACTGTTTACTTCAGAACCAATTATACTCCGAGTCTCCATCTCGTTCTTCTGCTCTTCTTTCTGCTGCTTTGCCTTCAATTCTAACTTCAGTTGCTGCTCCAAGAAAATCTCATCTTCTCTCTTTCTTGCTGCAGACTGATTTTCCTCAGAGCCTGTAAATCGTTCTAAGACTACAGTGATAGACAATACGCATTCGGTCAGTCGGCTTCAACGTATAGCTTATATCGCGACGTACTCTGATTTGGTAGGCCTTGTAGCGTATTTTTCAACCGATCTTTGAGCACCCATGGTCTTCCGGTTGAATCCTCATTCAACTCCTTAAGCAAATTACGGACGTCACTCACCAGCATAGTCTTGATAAACTTTGGCTCAAAGAGTGACGATCCGGAGCGCACTTCTGATGTCAAACCCTTGCTTACGGAATTCTTACATTGCAAATTTGGTGCCATTTGCTTCGTACATTTTCCTACAAGTGTGCTACACAACACATCATATTCGATTACAACACCTTTGAGCTGCTGCGCCGCCGCTTTGGCAAGCTTGATAGTTGGCATTCGAATTTTGACATTGAAAGCAGCATTAAGGTGGGTCACACCACTTGTATGTGTTGTGGGTATGATACATAAGTAAACAAAAGTAACCTTGAGTTCAGCGGCGACGATATTACGTACATATTTGTTGAGATAATATATGCTGCATTCTGTTGCTGAAAACGCTTCACTGAGGTCGGTTCTCCAGGAAATAAAAGTTTTACTTTACTGCCTCCGTATTCCTGCTTTCCACCTTTTCGCTCTCCGCCGTTGGCTGCTATTCGCCTCTGACATCCAAACAGATTGAAAGGAGCTTATCGTAGATTTGGTGCAGCACAAAGATATTATATGTTAATTACACCAGGTTGTATCTAGTTCTCCCACAGTCTTAACGCTGCGCGTTCAACTGTAAAAGTAATATGTAGGATAAAGTCATCGAGAGGACCGCTGCTCGCGAACTGAACTAGAAAACACAGCTATCAGCAACTGAGAAATTTCTATTTAGAAATGGTTTTGAATTTCTGTCAAGCGTCGTGAAGTAGCTGATCTTATTTGAGGGATCTAGCCGGTATACGATCCTAACCAGGTATTGAAGCCTGTGCTGTGCCTGCAGCGGCGCACCTCACGCAGAAGACACTCTGACCTTTAGAGTCCGCTTTAATTAACGCACAGAGAAATGTTGCAAAAGATTAACTTTGTACAATGCTCTTGATTTATTAACAACTGCTGATGAAAGCCAGCGACATTTTCCAGCTGCAGTGAGAACTCGAGTAAGATATGTAATTATATCCGGTGGGCCGTTTAGCGCTGTAAGGACGTTTAAATGTTTGAGTAGGCAGTATCGTGTACTTGCGCAAATCTATTGACGACGATATATACTCGTTTAGAGCCACACATAACATGGGTGATTGGATGTGAACATTCATAATAAGTACTTGGAAGCTAATGCTCGTGTGTTCCACCTGTTGGCCAAGTGTATTTTCGGCGTACACATATATTTTTGTCAAAAGGACCCTGTCAAGAAGCATGATCTGCGTCCAGATGTCGTGAGGATAAAAGCCAATGTGGATTAGCCGGTGCGGCTGTTTTGTAGGGACTCAACGAAATGGCTCTAGCTAGCCCGCAAATTTTGGTATAACACAGTCCCTCAGCGCTCCATTCTTCAAATATGCTAAATAGTGTTGAAGTGCAGCAGATGAGACGGCCTTAAGGCTGTTAAGAAAGCGTGATAGTTGCTTTGATTCTGGTATTTGTCGCATCCGAATTCACTACCTCTACCCACTAAGACACGTTAGCCTTTACCGAAGTTTGTACTTATCCTCAAGAAGATATTAATGAATATGAGTATGTCATTGCGTCTGCACGTCGCCGACTTAAGAGGCACATTTAGACAAAGAGATTCTTGTTATAAACTTATATTACGTCGAGTTAAACCTACATCTGCTAGGCCATAAAACGTTCGTGATACTTAAAAATCATACAATGTTACACCCAGCGACATCGTTGCCATATATCTTGCGAGGAATAACAACTTAAAAGTCCTTCTTTGCCTGGTATACCTTTCAAAATATATAATAATGGTCTGTAAGTTGTAGTACTCAAACTATAAACTATTTCTAAATACAATGGTTACGCCGAGCATCGACGAGGTGATAATTCCAGCGTATGGGTGAGGCGCAACATGTTGCATTGTTGGAAGCGCTGAATAGCACGACCTTTTTAGACTAGGATGCCGCTTTAACGAGCGCGTCTGGTAGTGTGTCTGCACTGCCATTCCTTGTTTTCAAATTTGCTGTGTTTGAGCAAGGTCCTATCCGACACAAAGTGTGTGATTGTTTCTATTGATAATTCCATCAAAGTTGAGAATCCTGTTTGAGACGTAAGATCTTTCCTGGGTGGTCGTCTCGGCAAAAAAAAATCAGTGGGCGCTGTGTATCGTACGCAGATTTGTAACGTGTTTACGTGTTAAAACCTTGCTGCACGTTCTGGCGCCTTGCGGTGTCGACTGGATGTTGGTAGGCCATAAGGAAGGTTTTTTATCTTGTCTTCTAGAAAAGTACAGATGATGTGGCCTTTGTAAACCGCCTCGTCTAGATTTCTTATCTCATTGTCGTCAGCAATACCATTTCTCATCAAAATTACACATCCAGCTTGACTAGACAATGTTTTATCAACCCATCTCAATAGTGGCAATCCTTTTGGACTGTGTTTCGCGCTGTACGGCAGATCTAAAGTGATTTTTTAACAAGGAGCTCGGCACCAAATTGGCCAGTTCCACCCCAGACAGATGGTCAGACTTAGCGCGTTAATCGCCGCACTGAATTCATATCCTGGAAAGCACTAACGCGGAGAGGCGCGGCGCTGGATCATAGAGCGGATGCAGACTATAACGGGGTCACATATACTCTTGTATAAAAGGGCGGATGATACATAGGTGTGTAATACACAAGTTAGTATAATCACACAGTGGTATGGCTACACCGTAACAAGAAGCCACCACGTGGCAGGATTGCCAGTAGTAATGCATATT